CACACACTGACCTGTACAGGTAACCACACACACTCACCTATACAGGTAAGCAGACACTCACATGTACAGACAAGCACACACTGACCTGTACAGGTAACCACACACACTCACCTATACAGGTAAGCAGACACTCACATGTACAGACAAGCACACACTGACCTGTACAGGTAACCACACACACTCACCTATACAGGTAAGCAGACACTCACATGTACAGACAAGCACACACTGACCTGTACAGGTAACCACACACACTCACCTGTTGGACGAGACGGCCGTTATCTCCGGGAAGCTGAGCTCCAGCAACACCTGCTCCTGGTCGTCGACGATGTAGACGCCCGTCCAGTTGACGGCGATGATGACGTCGTTCTTCGGCAGGTTCGGTCCAGAGAACTTGTACGCCTCGTAGAATCGCGAGAACAGCAGCGGCCACTTGTACTTGGCGTAGTTGACGATGTCCTCCTTGACCTTAAGCGGTGGCACCTTCTCCGTCGCCATGTAGCTCTGCCGTGATGCGAGTGAGAGAGAGAGAGAGAGAGAGAGAGGACACGAGTGAGTGAGCGAAACGCACGCATAATAAAGTCGATCGTAAAATAAAAAAGTAAAAAAAGTAAATCGGTCGTTCATTCGACCGTATTTCAAATGACAAACGAAAATTGACAGAATAAATATAAGCATGCAAGTGATGGTGGGGGTGGGCAACCATAAGACAAGGGTCCTATGATACTTTTTTGAAGTCAGAGAATACGAGCGAAATAATCTAGAGGCAGGAAAAGGCAACCCCAATGTCTCTACCGCAATATTCAGCGCCAAGCCAGTGCGCCGATACCTATTTAAAGCTGAGAAGACAAGACAAACTAAATAATATAGGAGGGGGAACAGGAGGCCACGACCCTGCACCATGACTCTCGCGCCATGCCACGCACTGATACCTTTCTGAAGGCTGGGAAAAGGAAGACAAGCTAAATAATCTAGGAGAGAAAGCAGGAGGCCACGGTCCTGCACTGCGACAATACTTTTCTGAAGAATAAGAAGAGGAAGACAAGCTAAATAATCAAGGAGAGAAAGCAGGAGGCCACGGTCCTGCACTGCGACAATACTTTTCTGAAGAATAAGAAGAGGAAGACAAGCTAAATAATCAAGGAGAGAAAGCAGGAGGCCACGGTCCTGCACTGCGACAATACTTTTCTGAAGAATAAGAAGAGGAAGACAAGCTAAATAATCAAGGAGAGAAAGCAGGAGGCCACGGTCCTGCACTGCGACAATACTTTTCTGAAGAATAAGAAGAGGAAGACAAGCTAAATAAT